TGTCTTTTGCATGTCTCAGAAGAAAGGGGTATAAGCCACAGGAACTTTCCATCTACTGGAAACTAAGAGGGGAGGGATGATCTCTCAAACACTATCTGATCAATGTCTTCTGTAACATGACATTTATCATGTCACTGGACAATACAACAACAAAACCTCATATTTTCTCGAATCAGATATCTACCTGCAAGATACCATGGCACTGAACTACAAAGTTAAAGATGCACAGAGTTCACTTTTAAAACATTATGCACTGCTGGCATAAAATGCTATGGGCTGGGCTGCAGAGATGGCTCAGCCTTTAAAGGCTAGGCTCACAACCAAAAATGCTAAGGGCTACTAGGCATGGTAGTGTACACCTATAACACCAGCTCTTGAGTGACAAGCAGGAAAAATCAACCAGTGTGTGGCTAGCCTGGGCTACAAAGTAAGGCCTTCTCTCAAAAGTCCTTTTTTAAAACCCCACAAAACTGTGTACTAATAAATATTCAAAGCTGTTAGCTGTGAAGCTGCTGTTCCTAACTTTGAACACTTTTTTAGAACTACCCTGGTGCCTCTTGCCTATAACCAGCCCTTGGGAGTTGGAGGCAGAAGGACCATAGTGAGTTAAGCCCAACCCCAGCTATATGGTACATGAGACCTCCTGTTTTTAAAAAAAAAAAAAAAAAAAAATGTCTAGGGAGGTGGCTTTGTGTGGAGAGTGCTTGCCCTGCAAGGTTAAGGACCTGAATTTGAATCCCTAGAACCCACTTAGGGCCAAGTACAGCAGCTCATTTGTAATCCCAGTGTCCCTATCACAGATGGGACATGGGGCCAGGAGAAGCCCCAGAAGCCAGCCTGGGCTACATGAAACCATGTCCTTTAAAAAAAGGTGTGTGTGTGGGGGCCTCTAAAAGCTCTTTAGGGCCTGGAAAGATGATTCAGCAATTAAGAGTACTTGGGTTCTCACATGGCAGTTCACAACCTGCTCTAACTTCAGTTTCAGGAGATTCTATGCTCTCTCTGGCCTCTGAGGGCATTGCATGCATGTGGTACACATACATGGTACATACAAATTAAGGAAAACACTTGTACACAGAGGATAAAATTGTTAAAAAGTTCTTTATGTGTCTGAGTTTCTATTAAGAAGAATTATGTAGTATATTTGCTGCTACACTAGCCCAAAATTCTCTGATAGGAGTTGTTAAAGAGTTTTATCCAAAACTTTATTCTAGGAAATGAGATGAAATTTGAGCATTAACAATAAAGAATCTTGGTTTCAACCTGAGCATGGTGCTGCATGCTTTAACCCCAGCATTAGCAAGGCTGAGGCGGGAGGACTGCTATGAATTTGAGGCAAGCCTTGTAGCAAAAGGGTGGACAGGAGCATTATAATCTCCAAAGGGCAAGTATGGTCATTCAGTGGTTAGAGGTACTATTGCAAAGTCTGACCACTGACCACCTGAGTTCTGTCCCCAGATGCTGCATGGTGGCAGAAGAATGTTGGTACCAGCAAGATGTCCTGTGACTTCCACATGTACACATGCCCACACATTCAAGGAACTAAAACAATTTTAATAAAATAAGAGGAATATCAAGAATAGGCAAATTCACAAAGACTGAAAATTAATGGTTTTCTAGGTCTAGAGGGTTTAGGAGGAAGGGAGAAGCTACTAACTGGAACAGGGGATTAATGGGAAAGTGACAATGTGTTTAAAATTGTTTGGCATGGTGTCACACACTTTTATCTCAGCGCTCAGGAGACAGAGTGGATCTCTAATGGATTCAAGGCCAGCTTGAGCTACAGTGAGTGAGACCCTTACCTCAAAAACCAGAGAGAAGAAGAGAAAATGTTCTAAAGTTATGGTGATGGATATGCATAGCCTTGTGAATATACTAAGCCTCAGTGAATTTATACTTTAAGTGTGCTATTTGTGTGGTTTGTGAATTATATCTCAAACACAGTGGCAGAAATACTGCACAATACAGCGTTATTGTAGAGATTTGGGTGTAAATCATGGAAGACAATTGGAAACCCAAGAAGGAAATTAGGGGAGCTCAGGAGTGGGTGAGTGCCTAGCACTCTATCACAGGCACCAACTTATTGGCCCAGACACAGCTACTGCAGGACTCTGGCAGGATCTCTTTCTCCACTCTGGGGCTCACAATCACAAACCACAGCTACACACTCTCTCCAACGAAACTAGGCAGCCCAGAAAGGAGAGCCCATCACTTCACCTCTATCTAGGCATGCTGCAGCCGATGTGGGACCTATGAGCTTTGAACTAACTCTTGGGCATGCTGTTTGTTACACTGGTGGGGCAAGCAGATTGCTCAAGGGTTTGTAGATCCAGACAAACAGGAACACCCCAGGTTGTAGAGCAGAGGTCACAAAGCAGGTTGATAAGGTGCAAATTCTATCTGGACTTCCACTCTTCCCCATCCCTGCTGCTGCTGTCTCCTAAACACTTTTAGTCTTTGTGAACTGCAGGTTGCCGCATAACCAGACTGTGGGCAAAAAGCGCGCGCAGGGTCGGGGGTGGGGGTGGTTCGGTTACTAAAGGGACTTCCCCTCCTCCTCCCCTTTAGTTTCCTCTTTTACCAAAGCCCTTTATAGGAAAGAGGAAGGGCAGTTGTTCTCTGTACCCATCTGCCCACAGAGATTAAATCAGCACTCTACCGTCTAGTCAGTCTCGCAGTGAGGTTTCCAACATTAACAGGATACCTCCTGGTTGCTCCGATGGTGACATTACTTGTAATGTCCAGAAACGGAGGGTCAGGGGTTGCAGTCTACAGATAAACAAGTCTTTATAATCTGGGTTTACAATCACATGTAAAAATGTTGTGTTTTTAAATTGTTTTATTTCTTGAAATTCTGTTGACTACTTGCTATGCCTGGCTAACACAGCTGAATAAGTACAAGGTAACTCAAAAGGTGTAGTATGGGATTTTTGTTTGTTTGTTTTGGGAATTTTACCTAGATTATCACCATTTTAGAAAAGCATCACAGAACCAATACTGTAACATTTGAATCAGAGCCATTGCTGAGCTCAAAGCAATATGGCAAAATGTGATGCTAGAGAAGCCATACACACACACACACACACACACACAAAAAAAAAAAAAAACACACACACAGAGAGAGAGAGAGAGAGAGAGAACCAGGTTTACTCCTCAAGGTTTAACACAGGACTTGGAGACAGAAGTTGGAAATATGGTCTTTCTTGGCACCCTGAGGTGCCAACGAAGTTCTACCAGGACAGGTAGGAAGGGTTCAGTTCGCTTCTCCACCTGCAGCCTGCCCTGGAGTTATTTCCAATGTAACTAGTGTATTTTTAAGGTGTCTTGTGGGGAGCTGGAGAAATGGTTCAGCAGTTTCAAGCAAAGTTTGAATTCCAGCACCTGTCTATAATTCCAGCTCCAGCCTGTGGCTTCCAAGGGGACTAAATTAGCCTTCACATGTACACACAAATACACATGCACTCACACACACACACACACACACACACACACACACAGGAAAAATAAAGGTTTCTATTTAAGGTGCTGGCAGGAAGGAGGGTGGGTTCTTTCTCCCAGGTGCCTCCCTGAGGTTCTTTTGAGCTCTTGGCTGCTGGAGGAAGCAGCCTTTGGAAGTAACCCAATCTCCCTTCCTTCTGCTGAGTTCCCAGGCTACTACTGCAGTCTTGTTCTTGAACAGCTTTGGCTGGGCTCAGTCAGGCCTTGTGATGTCTAGATGAAGGAAGAACTTCCCATGATGTTCCCTTATCCTGCGTAAGCCCAGCAGTAGTGACCCAACCATCTTCAGTGCTACTGAAACTTCCCTAACCAAGCAAGATTAAGTAGGAGCTGACCCATATAACCCTAAGGAACTTTGGCCCAGATTGCTGTCTTCTGGGCCCATTTACCTCCCATAAAAAATCATTTATTGGGGTAATGGAAGATGCCTCAGTCTTTAGGCCCAAGGACCTGGGTTCACTCCTCAGTACTAATGTAAAAGCTGGGAGTGGTGATATGTGTTTATAATCCCAGAGCTGCAGAGGTGGAAACCAGAGGACCTGTCTTAGTTAGGGTGTCTGTTGCTGTGAAGAAACACTGACCATGGCAACTCTTATTTAAAAAAAAAACAAACAAACAAATTTCACTGGAGCTGGCTTACAGTTAAGAGGGTTAGTTAGTCCATTGCCTTCTTGGCGGGAGCATGGCAGCCTGCAGACACATACGGTGCTGGAGAATAGCTAAGAGTTCTACATCTGAACCCCAAGGCCGCAGGAAGAGACTAAGATACATTTTCCCAACAGTCTACACCTACCTCAACTAGGCCATACCTGCTAATAGTATCAGTTCCTACAAGCCTCTAGGGGCCATTTTCTTTCAAACCACCACAATCTCTAAGGCTTGCTGGCCAGCTAAATCTCCAAATTTGAGATTCACAGAGATTTTGCTTCATAATATAAGGTGGAGAGTAATAGCAATTGAGAAAGATATCCAACAACAAGCACCTCTGGCCTCTGCATCCATACACACACACACACACACTGAAAGGCTTAGCAATTAAGAGTACCAGCTGCTCTTCCAGAGAACCTATGTGATGAGTGTGGTGGCTCACATCCATCTATAACTCTAGTTCCAGGGGATCTGACACCCACTTCTGAACTTCATAGGCACTAAGCATGCATGTCTGTATGTACATGTATCATACATATAAAAATAAATTAATAATTCTAAATTCAAAATAATAATTGAGTGAATAAATGAATAACCTTTGTGATATAGGACTAATCCCACTTTGGCGTTACGGTGACTATTAATAAGTAATTATTATAACAAAATACTTGACACAAGCTACTTAATAATATTTATTTAATTAACAGTTTTGAAATTTCAAAATTTTAAATGATTAGTATAGACTCTATGCCTAAGATTCCTCTTTTGGGTCAACAGCAATAGGAAAAGTACATCAGGAGTGAGCAAGTGTTTAAATGTTAGACCAGCACAAGGGACAGAAGGGGCCTAGTTGCTGCCTTTATAATAACCATTTCAGAACTCAAAAAGATCCCCATCCTGTGAGAGTACCACAGAACCTCCCACTAGACCCCACCTCTTAAAGGTGCAACCACAAACAGACCTTTGGGGATACAACTAAACTATCAAAATTAAAAGCTCAAGTCAGGATTTTATAATAACTTTTGAATTGGGATTCAAACTTAGCTCTAAATTGATTAGCATTCCTACTTTAACATTAGCCCTTAGAAACTTTGAACTGGTAGTGGGTCTTTCAGACTGGCTATGCTGTAGATCCAACAGGAAACAGTAGCCACTGATGTTCCACCTACATCCAATAGTGAGAGCCAGTCCTCAGCTTCTGCATGCCAAAGTATCTGGGCTTTCATCCTATCACATAGTCCTATAGAGCCAGCAACAGGCTTGTCCACATTGCCAAGACAAACTTTAACATGTGGTTTCTGCTCTAGAGCTCCCTGTAGAACCAGTACTTCCAAAATCCCTATTCCCCTCTCAGTTCCTTCCTATTTCCTGTCATCAGCCACACTCCTACTGCTTTGCTTTGGAGCCCTTCCTTAGTCGTGTTCATGTAGACCCCTAGTTCTGGTGCCTGCTTCTATGAGAACCTCTTAAGATACTCACAGGCTCTTCGGGTGATAAAACCACACACACACTTGCAGACGTTGAAAGCTACCCTGAAACCACTTCATGTAACAGTCTGGCAATGTCTAGAAAACATCCTTTTTTCTTTCTTTATTTATTTTATTATATTTTGTTTTATTTTTGAGTAAAAATAACAAAGAGGAAGTAATCCATGAGGTTGGGGGAGAGCATTGCTAGGCATAATAACAAATTTCAGTTGGACCTGTGTGTTTTACCAAAACGAAAATATCTCAGGTTTTTTAGATTTTTTTAAAAATCACTTATGTTGTGATAGACTAAAGACGAATGACTACATCCAACTAATAAGATGTACAAAGGGTTTGATATATGATCAACTATTATTCTTAATTATATTCACTAGCAGTTTTTTTCTTTCAAATTATCAAAATGGTTTGTTTCTGATCAAAATACTCATTGATGCTTTATTATTTCAGATATCTAGGATGTTACTCTTCAGTCTGTTTTTGGAAAACATGCAGAATTCAAAGTAGGTCATAAAGAAGATGATGTGTCGTTACTATTTCTCCTGTATGCATAGATTAAACTGAGTATTAAAAACTGAGAAATACTTTAGAATTAAACTGGTCCAAATGAAGCATCTTCAGACCTGAAAAGAAAAAAGGGAAGGGAAGGAAGGAAAGAGGAAGTCAGTAGAGCGTTTACTTTATTCACATTACAGATCTTACCACCAATGGGTCTAGCATCTGTGTGTAACCACCTTCTTAAAGTAAGTGAGTCACCACTTGGTGACTGTCTGGCCAGATTACCTATCCTCTCTAATACCCTCTCTCAAATCAATCCTGCTTTCCTAGAAATAAACATAATACAAGGTTTGAACAAGATTTTAGCCCCAATGTCCCTGAACAGTATGATTTCCCTGAAGTTTCCACCACTACACTGCATCTAATAGAAAAGCCCGTGTTCCCCCTCTCTCATGCTCCTAGGTTTCCTTCCGATACAGCTCTGATAGTGTGTTTACATGAAATTACAACAACCTATATCCTTGTCTTTCCTTGAGTGCTCTGAAAGTCTGTAGAAAGTAAACCTAGTGCCTACCCACTGAGACAGAGCAAGAGACTGAGGGGAGATGGATCTGCAGAACTTTGTCACCCCACTCTTCTGGCTGAAGAGCAAGGCCACTGCTACACAAAGAAAGCAAGTGATTCATTGTCCATTTCTTAGCAGAAATGACAAGGAGAAAACAGAAGATGACCAAACCCTTGAGATGGTGTTGATAACTGCAGGTCTCTCCTGGCCACATATTAGAAGTTGCTATTCTCCCTTTAGAGGGTTAGTGATGATGGCAGAGCCAGACCTGTAGTTACTTGCCTTCTTCCTGCCAATCCATAGGATAAAAGTTGTAACCCCAAAGGATTCTGCTGTGGCTACTAGCAAGCTACCCTGACTAACGTCTTTGGTACAGTGACAATTATGGTGTTAGAGCTGTCTATAAACAGCTCCTAGGAGAGTGAAGCAAAAAATTCTCTTCCTGCAGTGCTGGGAATAGAACACAAACCCTTATGCATGCTAGGCCTACCCCCCAGTGTGTGCTCCACCCCCAGACTCCCCTCTCCCAAAGGCCCATTTCTTAAGGTCAAGAAACCTACCTCTGTGATGCTTGATTACATGTCTCGTTCTATAAAAAAAGAAAATGGAAAGAAAAAGAAAACATTTTTACTTTTCTATACAAAGTACTAACAGACATCCAAAAGTGTTAGTAATAAGACTGGTAGAATAAATAGGTTGTTGTTGCTAGCTTTGAGTACTTGTTGAGAACTACCCAGAGATCCACCCCCTAGCCAAGTACCTAGCCAAGCCATTGAACAGTACAGAATTGTAGATACATGAGGGCAGGGATTGCAGGCCAAAGCCTATGACTTCCCAACAAGCTCTTTGGCACTTTGTGTGCATCAGGCTGCCTGGAGGAAGTCACAGCAGGAAGTCTGGGACAGTGGGTACTGCTGCTGTAGCTCCCTGCTCTAACAGCAGGGAGCTACTGATCAGTGTTTTGGGGATATCTCCTAATGGTCTTAGTATGCAGATTTATTTTTGAAATAGCAAAGCAGGTTTAAGCTGTGACTCAACACAGATAGAGCTTCTAGAAATTAAGGAAGAACTTGAAGACTCACCCCAGGTGACGACCTTGGGCTCCTTCAGAGTGACATGTGAAACTCTGCAGGCATATTTATCGGTCGCAGTGGGCACAAATTCTGTGTGAGCCAAAAGATAGAAAGACCAGTCCTTGTTGAAGGACAGATCTGACAGCTCCACCTTGTCCATTTTCTTCCCATTCTTCAGCAGCTCGATTTCAATGTGGGGGGGATGAAACTGCGACACATAGCAGTTCAGGAAGTTTGCTTTACCATCCTCAGGTGGGTGGCGTGTGTAGATTTGTATTTGTGGGGTACCTAAGAGTCACAGAAAAAGACAAATGACAACTTTCCAGGGCCTTTTCCTTGGAGCTAACTGCATCTCAGTCTATACCATGCCCCATGCCCCATTTGGTCATCTATTTCTCTCAGTTCTATTTCTGCTCTGGAAATGTGATCTTCTGCTCCCCCAAAAGGCTACCTACATTTTGAGAACTACATCATGACCTAGTATCTTTTCCTTAAAATCCTGTACAGGCCTTTGGTTTTTTTCCTACCTGGCCTGTAGCAGTGTCTTCTGTCACTAGAGACTACTGGACTTTTATTGGAAGCTCTCAAGAACTGCACTGATCCCTTCTCTTAATAAATTCTATGGCCCACCTACTTTCCGATTTCATGTCTCATTCAGCACACCCCCTGCAGTACCCACTTCATAGTGCCCATGTCCTTGTGTGCTGCGTCAGCTCTCACTTTATTTTTATCCCCTTCCTTTTTGCTTATTGCTCCTCCCTAGACTTCCTGACATGTGTTGTGTGATACAGAGATGAAAGCTGAGCATTGCCGCTCAGGTGGTAGATGTTAGTATTATCTCTTCCCCACTTAGGTTCCTATGCAAGTTAGTCCAGGGGCCAATCCTGCCACATACAATCTCTCTGTTCCAGTCCAGAGATAACGGGCCAAAACAAAACTCTGATTTCATAAACTAGAAAACAAGCAACATTTAAATATCTACAGAAGCTAGCAAAACTAAGTGGTTGTGTTGGAATGGATAAAATACTGTAGGGAGAAGTGAGGAATATGATGAACGAGGAAGACTAGATTCCACTAGAGCTAAGTGGAGAGATGTCTATGAGAGGAAATATATTTCTAGTCAGCACTTTCAAATGACTGCCCTAACTAAACTTGTTGGGAATAAGTACCTTGAGATACAGGGACATGGAAAGGAAATACTATAAACTCTTTCTAATTGGTGTGTATGAGAGAGAGAGAGACACACACACACACAGAGAGAGAGAGAGAGAGAGACAGAGAGAGAGAGAGAGAGCACCATAACTCTTATGTGGATTTAAGAGTCAGTTCTCTCCATCCACCAAGTAGAATTTGAGATCAAACTCAAGCTTAGTGGCTAGTGTCTCTACCTGCTGAGCCATTTCACTGGCTTTTTTGTGTTTTCACTATCATCTATCTGTTTGTCTGAGTGTCCACCTATTTATTGATCCATCCAGCCATCTGAGATAGTCTTACTCTGGCTCCAGACTGGCCTTAAACTCTTGTCTTAGCTTCCTTGGGGCTGAGATTACAGGCATGAGTTACCACACCTGACTTATACTTTCAAATACACATATACTCAGGGTTATGTGGTCTCTAAAGGGCAGCTATTATCCACATATAGAAGGCAATAGGAAGAAGGAAGAGCTGTATGTTTTTAGATGCACTGGAGGAAATGTTACTAGTCCTGTCAAGAATTAGAGTTAAGGTTTCAATGGAGCCATAATTTTTTTTCCTGTAAAGTTAAAGTGAAGATAAACCAGAAAGCTCCTTGCATTTGAGGTTTTAGTGACAAGAGCATAATAAATGCCACAGAGGTCAGAGGCCAGTTCACCCTGCCTAGAAACCTCCAAAAAAGAACAATCTCCTCTTTGACAACAAAGACAAGTGTTGAGCCAGGTTTGAATCTGGGATCTGCCACTTTTCTACCTCTATGACTTGAGAGTTATTTATCCTCAAGAGTCTTGGTAACTATACTGAATTATCTTTACCCAGAGTTCACAACCTCCCTGACTTTGAAAAACTTGCAGTTTTCAAAACTGAAAGTAGATGCTTGGAAAGAACCAGGCAGTGTGCCAACAAGGAAACCCTGTTTGAAGTACCAAGGGTCCAAGGCAGCCCAGCCTGTTTTGCAGACTATAACCCAGGAAGGCCTCCAGCACTTCTAGAAACAAAAGTGGCTACTTTTACCCCAAATGTCATAAATAGGCTTCGATTTCAGTCCCGACTGCCATAATCTCTGTGCCTCTGGTTCCCCATCTGAGAGATACAAGAATGTTTACATCGTAAATGCTGTTTCAAAGTTATAAAGCACTCAAAAAACTACCCAGCAGCCTTACAATTATTACTAAAAACATTAATGAGACAAGGTAAGTCAACGGCCAGAAAGCTTTGGAAACAGCAGAGCCTAGGACCCATGCCCATTTCTCTAGATTTCCTGCTCTGTTGTATCCCAAGGCGCTATGAAACTGAAAGGCAGCAGGGCCGCCGCGGGCTGACTTCCTCGGGTCCCCGGGTCCCCGGGCCCCTGGGTCCAGGCCCGGCTTCCACGAGTCCAAGACCCTCCACTCTGCTCCTTTAGGGCAGGCCCACCCTCCCACTGTGTTCCAGGACTCTGGGGACTCCGGCAGGCAAAGAGCAGGAAGGAATCATTCCCTGTCTTTCCTCACAGTCGCAAACCAGCCACTTCCACATTGCTAACTCGAAGCAGCAAGAAGGAAGCTGCGGGACTCCCACCCCTTCCCCGGGAGACCTAGCCCTGGCCAATCCCGTCGAGAAGGAGAACTAAGGAGAAATCAGAATTAACGCCAGGAGAGGAGGAAGAGGCACTCACGCTGGATGGCATCCAAGCAGACCAGTGAAGCAAGCATCAGAAAGACCACAGCCACGGAGCGAGCCATCGTGCTCCCTGGAGCAAAACTACGAAGTGGCCAGGACTGGGTGTGCACTCTTATTAATCCACACACTCACAGCCAATCGGGACCCAGATCCGGAGGCCGTCACCAGTCTCCTAGCTGGTGACGCTAAACTAGGTTAAAGAAGGACTTTCCCAGTTTCAGTTTCATGTTCTTATAACGTCCTGTCCTGTGATGCTTAGAAGAACCTGGGCTATACGTCCGTACCCTGCACTCAGGGTGTGCTTCTGAGATTGGTGTACCTGGTCGTTCATCCTAGGGATTTCTGGCTGGAACTACCGCCATTCGTTCTAATGACAAGAGAATCCCAGTCAGAGATGGGCTTAGGACCTGAAGTTTTCATACTTGAAAAGTAAAGCCAAGACAATTAAGAGCATTAATTGGCAGAACTCAAACCTTGAATTATAGCCCCGGGAATACAAAGATGGTTTTCAGGATTCCCTGTGCATGGACCCTCCCACCCTAAGGGGGCAGCTCCTAGAATCTGGCTTACTTCTCTCAGGTTTCTCCTTTGAGAGCTTTGGGTGGAGAACTTCCTCTGGTAACCTTGCTAAATTTAGGTAAATTTCTGTCCTGTTTGAAAGACAGACAATGGCTGAGAGCTCTGAGTTTCCAGACCATTCTCTTAGTAGTACCGCCCTAGAACAGTGTCATTGGTAAACTGAGTGAACAAGTGGCATGATACCACGAATAAATTCTTTCTCTGGATAGAGAGATAAAAGTGAGAGGCATTTCCTTGAGGGTCCTGCCTTATCCGCTTGGAAGACAAAGGCAATTTTATTCAGGATGCCTATTACATCAGCTGTGGACCCATCAAGGAAGTTAAACTCCTGGCCAGAAGCGCATGACAGAGACAAGCAGTGACTGCCGGGACTCTGGAGACACTCCACCACCATCAACAAGCAGCCAAGCTGATGCTGCTTTAGTAGGAAGCGGAAGTGAAGCATAGAGACATGGAGGGATATCGTGGAAATCACCCTAGCCACTTTGGGCTTCCCCAAGGAGCATGGCAACATAATCTCTGGGTTTCTTTGACATGTTTTTAAACTATTAACAATCTCTAGTGTGGAGCCCATGTCTAAACTAGAGAAAACAGAATATTCTCCACGGACCTTAATGAGATAATGAACAGATACCCAGTTCTACAGTGCCTACCCAGCATACAGTAATGTTTAGAATCATAATTATTAATGTTATTTTGCCATCCCTTTCTGTAACTTTGAAATATAAGAATAATTGTTATGCATAAAGGCATGAATTAAGATACTTTCCTCCATACAGTTAAAAAAAAAAAAAAGCAACTAACTCATTTAGCACATTTAAGACCTGAAATACTAATGTTATGTTAAATTATACTAAACACTGCTGGTATTGAATTGTACTAGAAAATGATTAAGGAAAATAGAAAACTATAAGGTTTTTTGTTTTGCTTTGTTTTGTTCCTATATCACAGAAAATTACCAAACTTAAGTTCATGGAAGACAAAGTCTTTTCTTTTCACTTATAAGCCCAATGTAAAAGCAGAAAGGAAGCAGCCATAGTGGGAAAGCTGAGAGAGGTTCGGGGGCTGAGAGAAGGGTTGCTCAAGCCAGAAGTTCAAGACCAGTCTAGACATATCTCAAACAAAGAAGAGCCAGAAGACAGACACATTTTCAGTTTTCTGCAGGTGGGGACTTCTGTGTCTGAATAATAAGAATGAAAGAAAAAGAAAACTATGGTTTAAATGATGGGTCCTGGTAAGGTTGCCACCAAGCCTGAAAACCCATGTCCAATCCCTGGGACCCAGATGGTGGATGGACTGCAAGTTGTCCTCTGACCTCCACACACACACACACTCAGTCAACAAATAAATCAATGAAAAAAGAAAAGACGAGCCCTGTGTGTCTTTGGGCCAACTTTGGGAATCTATAAACATGACAATTTTTTAAAAGATGACAGTTAAATAGTATTATCTCCCAAGAGACTAATTAACTGGTGAACTGGTGGCTTTTTTCCTTGCCTATATGATTGTCTAAAAAGGTTTTTGCAGTAAATACTTCAAAATAGTAAATATTGGCAAGAGTTCTTTCAGAAGAAATGGAATTTGTATGCACTCCTGTCCTGGTAGCAATGCAAAGGGTATAATTACTTTTAAAAAAACAATATAATAATTTTATTTAAAACAAAAAAAATTTGGAGATAGAGGGGTGGGTGCATGGTTAACAGCAACTGTTGCTCTTGCAGAGGATTGGGGCTCAATTTCTAACACCCATGTGGTAGTTCACAACTCTCTGTAACTCCAATTTCAGAGGATCCAATGGGCAAACACATGGTGCACATTACATACATGCAAGGAAAATATCCATACAAATAAAACAAAGCAAGTGAGTCTAAAAATGTTGCTTTTTTTTTTTAACTAAACATAATGGACCATTAGATCTAGTCTCTGTACTCAGCTATTTCCCAGAGAGAAAATAAAAGCATGTTACACAATGACTTGTATGTGAATGTCCAAAGTTGCTTTGTTTTTTAAAAGCTGCAAACCAAAAATTATCCAGACAGCTACCAACAGGTAAATGGATAGATACATTGTGGTATAAATCTGTCAATGGAATACTATCAAGAACAAACAATAAATGAACTAATAATACAAGAACATGGATGAAATAATCATTCTGGAAGAAGCCAGATAGAAGAATGTACTCTGTATGAGTCTGCTTATATAGAACTTACAAAAGACACAGTGAAAACTGTTAATTATTTAGAGTTTGATGGTGGTTTTACGGATGTGCTCATATATTATTATTCACCATATACTTTAATGTACTTATGGTATATTAATTATTATGGTTACAAAAGGTAAACCCTGAGGTTAAGAGCACTTACTGCTCTTTCAGAGCATGGAATTTGCATCCCAGCACCCACACTAGGCAGCTCATAAACACTGTTATCTTCAGATCCAAGAGACCCCACTCTGGCCTTTGTAGGCACAGGTACACATGCACACAAAATAAATAAATAAATAAATAAATAAACAGACTCTTAGAAAGACAAACTCTGAAAACACAGATACTTATTGCTAGATTTTAAAAAGAGTAAAGTGCTTGAACACGACAAAAAAGTAAGATATCAAAAGTGCTTGAACACGACAAAAAAGTAAGATATCAACGTGGAGAGACAGAACAGGTTAAAGTTCATGTGAATGGACCTCTATCAGCAGTTTTCTGAGACAGGCTTGTCTACACAGCAGGTCCACTAGAAACAATTTGTGCTGAGGTCTCCAAAAGTTATCCTCAGTCCCTTGCTAGTTAAAGCATGATCTAACATCAGCACCAACAATATCTAGGAAAACTTAGACATGCAGGATCTTGGGTCCACCTCAGACAAACTGAGCAAAATCACCCTTTAACAGAGTTTCAGATGACTCACATATACACTAATGAGCATGAAACTGCTAACCCAAAAACTATACAACTGTTTTGAAGGTAGTCATTTTCATTTATAGATAACAAAATGTAAACAGAGATAGTGCATATATAGGGGGAAGACGTTCTACAAAATTAGGATAATTTCATGTATGTTCCTTGAATTTGCTTATTTTTACTATTTAGATAATTTCCATGTTGTTATGTTATCAGAAGCTGGCTGGGGTCCTTCTCAAGAAAAGATAAGGAATGGCATTTCCAATGTTGTTAGTCCCAGGCCACCAAATGTCAAAGGCTAATGGACTAGCCTACCAGGCTCAGAGACATGTACCTCCAAGCTGTGACAACTAGAGACTTATTTCTAGAGCCAGGAGCCATATGTCTGAGGCTGTGAGCTCTAGATGCTCATGCTGGATGTATAACACTCTGGGTTTTGATTGTCAAAGGCTGAGTATTCATCAACTAATGGAATCCTTGGTCTGCAGCAGCAGCAGTCAGTCAGTCCCCAACAGCCCCCAGCAACCCCCAGCAACCCCAGCAGCCTTTGGTATGGGATCCTCAGTCTTTAAGGCTTGCCAGCTGCCTGCAACTCTTCTGGTGACCAGGATTCCCAGTCTCTCACCTTCAGCAACTTAACTTCTCACCTTCTGTATTTTTTTAGGGTTTTCATTGCTGTGAAGAGACACCGTGACTATGGCAACTCTTATAAAAGAAACATTTCATTGTGGTGGCTCGATTACACTTCAGAGCTTCAGTTCATCATGATGGGGAGCATGGTGGCAAGCATGTAGGCATGGAGCTGGAGAAATAGCCAAGTGTCCTTTATCTTTTAGGCAACAGGAAGTTGACTGAGTCACTGGATGGTATCCTGAGTATATGAAACCTCAAAGCCCACCCCCACAGTAAAGCCTGCCCCTACTGTGACACATGTAGACATACTTTTCTTTCCTTCCCACCAGTTCCCAACTGACACAGAGACTTAATATAGATTATAAATGCTCAGCTGATAGCTCAGGCTTATTACTAACTAGCTCTTACAACTTAAATTAATCCATATTTCTTATCTGAATTCTGCCTAATAGTGCCACTCCCTATGAGCTTATAGGGGCCAAATACATTCAGCCTACCACATGTATGTTTCCTCTATCCTTTGTCATTTCTGCCTGTTGCTCTAAGGAGCTCCTTAGCTACCTCCTCACAGCAGCTGCACCACCGATTCCGCTGTCTCTTCATAGTTTCTGGGTTGGCTTCTTGCCAGTTTGACACAAGCTAGAGTTATTTGGGAAGAAGAATGTCAATTAAAATGCTGCATCAGATTGCCTGCAAGTCTGTAGGTCTTTTTCTTGATTAGTGATCCCGAGCTGTGGTGGCACACACCTTTAATCCCAGCACTCGGGAGGCAGAGGCAGGCAGATCTCAGTGAGTTTGAAGCCAGCCAGTACAGGCTCCAAAGCTACATACAGGGAAACCCTGTCTCAAAAACAGACAAACAAACAAACAAAAAACGCAAATCACAGGTCTCATACTTCACCAGTCATTGCCTTCTTACCAAGTTACCTAAGAAGTTCTTCCCCTCCAGTCTGGAATGAGAAAAACTAGTGTCA